TCATCAGTTAAAATATATGGGTCATCAGTTAAAATAGATGGGTCTTCATTTACACCGTTATTTTCAATAGGATAAAAACTATCTTCAATAGGATCAAAACTATCTAGGGATTTACTTAAACCACACCTATATTCTAAATCCCTATTAAACAGCAACATTGGATTGAACCACTTTAAAATACAATAGATGAATAGTCATTCGATGATCATTTTTTATCGACTTAAGTATAGAAATAGAATTGCGAGGATTAATAACTTATAATAATAATGAGCGAAGAAGTATTGAACAAATGTATCATTTATATTTGAATATCAAATCAATAACTATTTCTAATATAAAAATGAATGAATAGAATAAAAACAAAGAAGTAAAAAGGCTCATTTGGTCTACGGTATTTATGCACCAAATTAGTTTATTTCTTGACTTTTTCCTAATATGAGGTAGGTTGAGCACCGAATTTTGGAACGAATTTTGGAATAAATAGATCACTCAAATCGAAAAATCGAGGATCCCTATTTCTAGATACTAGAAACTAGATAGTATAAAGAAAATAGGGCATGTAAGACTCCGCAGCTAATATAGTCACGTTTTTCAAGTCCCACGCTGCTTTTTACTACGAGGTTTTACCATAACATTATTTTTTAGTTTCAATCTGGTATGTAATTGATTCCATTTTGAAATCGTGCATAGTCATTGACTCAATCAATAGATAATAATATATACTTTTCACTTCTAGGTTTTAGGTTTTCTGACTATACAATTTTATTTCTAAAGTCAAGAAGTCGAAATTAAGTCAATATTCTATTTTCATGGTTTGTAAATTAAATATAAAAAAATCAATTTCTAAAAAAAAAAAAAGGAATCTTTATTCGGATATACAATTTGTATTGAAATAGGTATATATCTTGAATAGATATGATCTGGGACGGAAGGATTCGAACCTCCGAATAACGGGATCAAAACCCGCTGCCTTACCGCTTGGCCACGCCCCATTTTGATTCGACATAAATAGTATTATGAGTTGTTCGTAAATTACACTTCGAAATTTATTCTATAGAATAAATTGTTGCTAGAATTTTGATATGTATCGATATCGAATTAAACGAAATTTATTGATCATTCCATAGAATTCAATTAAGATATTGTTTGAACTTATTCAGTTCAAATCAAAAAAAGTGGGGGTCTGATCTTAGTTGATTCATCTTTTTTTTTCGTTTTATTACTGATTTAGTAATCTTCATATCTATAAATAGGAATTCAATATTTTATATTCTATCCTTTTAGATTTTCAAATTATTCATTTTCTATTCTATATATTCTCTATTCTATCTAAATAAAATCAAAAAATTTTGATTTTATATTTCATTGTTAATATAAAAGTATAATACAAAAATGGATAATAATAATAATAAATTATATAATAAATCATATCATATATAGAATAAATCATATCATATATAGAATAAATCATCTATATAATAATAAAAAAAATACAATCAAAATTAGAATTAAAAACAAAAGAAAAAAGACAATTCATTTTCTTAAAGAAAAACATTTTTGTTATGCTTAATATCTTTAGCTCGGTCTGTATTTGTATTCACTCTGCCCTTTATTCAAGTAGTTTTTTCTTGGGGAAATTTCTTGGGGAAATTACCAGAAGCTTACGCTTTTTTGAATCCAATTGTAGATTTTATGCCAGTAATACCCTTACTCTTTTTTCTCTTAGCTTTTGTTTGGCAAGCTGCTGTAAGTTTTCGATAAGATCTTTAATTTGAATAATGTCCGAAAAAAAAGTCAGAATTTATTAGAAAACTCAAATTTTAACATTTTTAAAAATAAGATAAGTCTTACAGTGTGAATCCGTGATTATAAATCTTGAAATTGTTGGATAGACAATAAAAATATGGATCATCTCATCATTTCCTTTTTTTCCATTCAAAAATAAAAATTATATTATTCTATTATTCGATTTGAGTCTACCACCAATACGTGGATCTTGTGGATATGAAAGAAAATTGAATTGTTGGTAATGGTAAAACAAAGGCTCAACTCTTACTACAAATCAATTTTTTTAGTTTTTTTGAAATAACTTCATTTCTTATAAACTGAGTATCAAAGGAAACATAATATGAAATACAAGAGAATCTATTCTCTTTCTCTGTCGTTTTTTTTTTTTTATTATCTTGGAGATTTTGTAATGCTTACTCTAAAACTATTTGTTTACACAATAGTGATATTCTTTGTTTCTCTTTTCATCTTCGGATTCCTATCTAATGATCCAGGACGTAATCCTGGACGTGAAGAATAAGAAAATCTTTGTTCTTTTCCGTACTTATGCTGGATTTTTAAATATTTTTCGTTTTTCTATCTATTTTACATCTTTAACTAGTAAAAAATGAAACAAACAGGGAATAAAAAAAAAAAGAAATTCCAGAAGTTCAAAAGAAAAAAATGCCAAATCATCAATAAACGGAAAGAGAGGGATTCGAACCCTCGGTACAAAAATTCGTACAACGGATTAGCAATCCGACGCTTTAGTCCACTCAGCCATCTCTCCCCAATTCAAAAAATTGAATTATTATGCTTATGATACCTCGGATAAACAAAAAGAACAAAAAGTAGGGCTCAAAAAAGCCTTCTATATATCTTATTTGATATTGATCGTCATTTGATATATCTTATCTATCTATCTTTTTTCTATTTGATTATCATTTTATTTAATTACTATTCATAATTCTATATTAACTCATAAATATTAGTTATATTTTCTTATACCTATACTAAAGTTATATTCTATATATACGCAATATAAAATTTTTTCTTTTCTTTTTTTTTTAGTTTGTTTTTTTATCCAACCAGAGTCCAGCTAGGTACTGGCACGGCTCTTTTTTCCCATGAATCACAATGATTTATTTTTCTGTATCAGATTTGAAAGAAACTTGTAATTAAGGAAAACATTTTAATACGATCAAACAAAAATAAAAATAACTTTTTGATCGTATATCATACGAATTAATCAGTTAACGTATCTAAAAAAAGAAATAGAACTATGGATTCTTGCACAATGCATTTTTGTCTTATGAATTTCGTTTAGTAATTTTGTCGAGATCTATCTGTCAAAATACCTTCAACAAAATCCAAAAATGAGATTCGCCCCCTTTTCTAAATTTCATTAGGGGGCCCTTTACGAAACATGTGAACACTGTATTTATCATAAAATTCTGCACCTATTTCATAATTAGGACTGATTCCCCTTCCTGTATTGATATTGACAAAAGATCTTTTTATATACAATAATAGTATTGTAGCGGGTATAGTTTAGTGGTAAAAGTGCGATTCGTTCTATCGACCCCTTAATAGTAATAGTTAAGGGGTCCCTTCCGTGATTCATATCACGATCAAAAACTTTATTTCTTACTTAAAGGTATTTAATCCTTTATACCTCTCAAGGAGCAATTCGAGGAATAATATACATTATCATAATTTGTATACAATTTAGAATTGATTCTAAAATTATGAAACATAAGTTTTTGCAATTGGATCCAGAATCCCAATTTTTGAATATAAGTAAAGGATCCAGGGAGAAAGATATATAAAATTCGTTTCCAATCGTAACTAAATCTTCCAATTTTTTTATTATTTGTTTTGTATAGGAGAGATTGAAGCAAAATAGCTATGAAATGATTTTTTTAGTTTACTAGAAACATCAACATATTTTTTTAGCTCGACGGAAATTTTATTCTTTTCCTAAAGATTCTCTCAAATAGAAATAGAGAACGAAGTAACTAGAAAAAAAGAGATTGTTCGAATACTCCTTTTCTATAGGGATCATCTAAAAAGCAACGTTAATTGTATTCATACCGAAAGGCTGACATAGATGTTATGGATTCTTTTTTTCATGTATTCCATCTATCTCTTAAATTATTCTGTAAAGGAGCTGAATGAAACAAAAGTTTCACGTTCAGTTTTGAATTAGAGACGTTCATTCATAAACGTCGACTATAACCCTTAGCCTTCCAAGCTAACGATGCGGGTTCGATTCCCGCTACCCGCTTATATTCTATTTTTTATTTAGTAAATTTCTTCATTTAGTTTTAGTATAGAATTCTTTTTTCTTTCCCTTTTCACGAAATTTTCGTGAAAAGGGAAAGAAAAAAAGAAAAGCGTCCATTGTCTAATGGATAGGACAGAGGTCTTCTAAATCTTTGGTATAGGTTCGAATCCTATTGGACGCAAATTGATTACATATTGAATTGATTGCAATTGCATATATATTAATTGAATTCGTATATTTATAAAAATATATTGTGAATTTATTATCTTTATGATTCTTTTTTTTAAGAGACTAATGATAGAAATTTTTTAACGGTATGAAAATTTTAATCAATTTTTTTCTACTTGTTCCTGAAGTAAAAAGAGTTCCATCTGTTCCTGAATAGCTTCCTTCAAAATGGCTTCTGCTTCCCCAGTGAATGTCTTGGTAGAAGATATGATTTCGTTGAATTTAGGTTTATTCGTTTTTAAATAAGCCCGGAACTCAAGGAGAAATTTCCTTACCTGTTCAATTTCTAATGAATCAAGATAACCGTTCGTTCCAGTATAAATAGTTATTATCTGTTCTTCCACAGTAAGAGGAGCTGATTGGGATTGTTTAAGCAACTCGCGCAATCGTTGACCTCTTGCCAATTGATTTTGCGTGGCTTTATCGAGATCTGAAGAGAATTGTGCAAAAGCTTCTAATTCTGCGAATTGTGCCAATTCCAATTTTAATTTACCAGCTACTTGTTTCATGGCTTTTATTTGAGCCGCCGATCCAACTCTGGAAACGGAAATACCCACATTAATTGCGGGTCTGATCCCAGCATTGAATAAATCGGCAGATAAGAATATTTGGCCGTCTGTAATAGAAATTACATTAGTAGGAATATAAGCTGAAACATCTCCTGATTGGGTCTCAACTATTGGTAAAGCAGTCATACTTCCTTCACCTAACTGAGAACTTAATTTAGCGGCTCTTTCCAAAAGACGCGAATGTAAATAAAAAACATCTCCGGGATAAGCTTCGCGACCTGGTGGTCTTCGTAATAGAAGAGACATTTGGCGATAAGCCTGTGCTTGTTTGGAGGGATCATCATAAATGATTAAAGTGTGGCGTTCACGGTACATAAAATATTCAGCCAGAGCTGCTCCTGTATAAGGCGCGAGGTATTGTAATGTAGCTGGGGAATTTGCTGTTTCAGCCACTATAATAGTGTATTCCATTGCTCCTCTTTCTTGTAAAGAAGTTACGACTTGAGCCACAGAAGATGCTTTTTGACCAATAGCTACATAAACACATACTACATTTTGTCCCTGTTGATTGAGAATCGTATCTGTAGCTACTGCTGTTTTACCAGTTTGTCTGTCCCCAATAATCAATTCTCGCTGGCCACGCCCTATAGGGATCATAGAATCAATAGCAATAAGTCCCGTTTGAAGGGGCTCATACACGGACCGTCTGGAAATAATACCGGGAGCGGGAGATTCGATTAACCGAGATTCCGAAGCTGAAATTTCTCCTCGACCGTCAATAGGTTTAGCTAGGGCATTTACAACACGACCCAAATAACCCTCACTTACCGGTATCTGAGCAATTCTTCCTGTTGCTTTTACGGAACTTCCCTCTTGTATCATCAAACCATCACCCATTAATACAACACCAACATTTTTTGATTCCAAATTCAAAGCAATGCCTACTGTACTTTCTTCAAATTCTACTAATTCACCCGCCATTACTTCATCAAGACCATAAATACGAGCAATGCCATCGCCTACTTGAAGTACGGTACCTGTATTTACAATTTTTACTTCGGTATTATATTGCTCAATACGTTCACGGATAATTTTACTAATTTCATCTGCACGAATGGTTACCATGAATATTTCTGAATTTGATTCTTTTTCGAAGAAAAACAAAAAG